AGGGAGGGAGGGAGGGAGGGAGGGAGGGAGGGAGGGAGGGAGGGAAGGGAGGGAGGGAGGGAGGAAGGAAGGAAGGAAGGAAGGAAGGAAGGAAGGAAGGAAGGAAGGAAGGAAGGAAGGAAGGAAGATCGTGGTTGGGGGCAGTGCGGGGAGAGAGAGAGAGAGAGAGAGAGAGAGAGAGAGAGAGAGAGAGAGAGACCCAAACCTGCTACGATAAAGGAAAACCCTCCCATGGCTCCACAGTTTCTCCTAGGCACCACAGGAGAACTCGGCCACGTCTCGGAAGGAAGCTCCTTAGAAGGACATTCAGACACTGTTCTCCACGCTGGGGTCCCCTCAGCTCCCCCTCCCCGGAGCTCCCGGCACTGCTTACCAGGAAGAACAGGTTCTAGCTCGGAAGAACCTGTAAGTAGGAGACAGTAATCGATGCAGTTGCCATAGTTTGGGAAGAACAGAAGTGCACTTTAAAAGGAGACTTCCTTTCCCGCCTTGTACCATAAGGACTAAATGGAAGAAGATACAAATAAAAGGGGAGGAAAACGTTTTCCAATTATTAAGAAAATAGGGAAAAGAACCCAAATGCATGGGGGGAGCCATGCCCCAAACAAACCCAGAGAATATTACCTATCTGTCCTCGGAATAAAAATGGTGTTCAACGCAGACGTTAAAGTGCTCCCATCTTTTAATGGAACACGTGACCAGTTCCAAGTTTTAAGAAATTCTTGAACACACAGTACACATCCAAATAGTGAGGAGCAGCACGCCCCTGTCCGAGGCCTCACCTGTGGTGACGTCACCAGGAAGGAACCTTGCTTCCAGAAGGAAATTGCAGCGGCTGACTTAATAAATAGCATCGGTCAGTAGCAGTCCTAGAACACAGAGACACAGCATTATGCCCAATTCACTCACAGAAATCTTAAGAATGGAAATTTAATTCCTAATGTCTAAATACCTTCACAGGAGCAAATATCCATGTATTAGTCCAAGCCCACGAAACCCACCCGCCTAGGATCTGATCTGCAAGCACTTCCAGTGTGAAGTGCAAGGTGTAACAATGAACGGCTGACGTGCTGTCGGTAGGCCTGGGGGCTCACGCTGGGATGGAGGAGGGCTGATTTAGAGTTTGCCACCGGAGGCATATGTGCCTCGTATTTTCTCCCTGGTAAAAATATTTCTCTTTAACCAAAAATAAATCCCAGTGAGCTTCTTATCAGGGAGGAGCATTATTAAGGTTGCAAAGCAATAAAAAGAAGCCCGGAATATTAGCAAAAAGTGTTAAATGTGCTGTCATTCTGTGTGTAAGATGAGTTCACTAGGAAGAATTCACTCTGAGGTTTTGCTTAATTTACCTGTCTCCCAACACAGGCTTTGAAAAATTCCTCTAAGTGCCACAGCTTTATAAGGGACATGATTGGATGGTTCCATGATATTTTTTTACTGCAGCACCTCCTTAGGTTATCTCACTCCCCCACAAAACCAACCAATTTAGAACCCCCAAACCCAGCAGAGTTGGCCAGTCAAACTAAAACGTCCCATTAAGACACCAACAATGCGGTAGCTAATTTTTTTAAAAAAAGCATTACATTTATGTTTAGATAAAATCAACAAAGTAATAAGATGCATCCTTACTTAATCTTTAAACAAACAAAATCCCTCCAGCCTAGCCAGAGCGCTTCAGTTGGTTGACACTTCATCTGTGCACCAAAAAGGTGGCTGGTTTGATCCCTGGTCAGGGCACATCCCTGGGTTTGGGTTCGGAGCCCCGTCTGGGTCCATACAGAAGGCACCCAGTCGATGTTTCTCTCTTTCTCTCCCTTCCTCACTTTAAGCCTGTCCTCGGGCAAGGATTAAAAAAAAAAAAAGGTAAAAACACCCAAATATTTACTAGCTATGGATGTTTTAAATACCCAAAGTTTATCACTCTGAAGTCTTTGTATTAAATCAAAATCCTTTAACTAACTTTAAAGCTACATTAAAATAATCCTGGAACTCTGGAATGTTATCTCCTGTTACAATTATATTAGTTCTTTAGGAGACCAATCTGGTGTTAGTAGTTTGTTTCCATATCTTTCATTAAAAAAGAAACAAAGAGCCCTGGCCGGTGTTCTCAGTGGTTAGAGCATCAGCCAGCGCACTGAAGGGTCTCAGGTTCGATTCCTGGTCAAGGGCATGTACCTGGGCTGCAGGTTCCATCCCCAGCCCCTGTCAGGGCCCATGCAGGAGGCAACCAATTGATGTGTCTCTCTCACATCAATGTTTCTCTCTCTCTCCATCCCTTTCACTCTCCCTAAAAAATCAATGGAAAAAATATCCTTGGGTGATAATTAACAACAACAACAAAAAGTGTGAAAAAATAAAGAAAAGAAACAGAGATACCTCACACCTTGTGATTGACTAATTATTCCAACTGGAGTGTACTTCAGGACAGGGCAGGTACTAAATTTATGGGATGGTCTTATTTTAGGTGTTGTGTAAGCCCCAGATATATGTGTGTATACACGCACATACACACTTACACATTTCACAATGTTTAACTATTAAGTAACTAGTAACAATTAATTGTTAAGTAACTAGAAAATAGAATAGTATTTTTTCTCCCAAATGAAGGTATATACTTTAGACTATTAATGCAACCTAATTTTAAGTAATTACAATGCAAGAATGAAGATTTGACATTGTGATTTATAATTTAACTAGAGGCTCGATGCACAAAATTCATGCAAGAGTAGGCCTTCCTGCCCTGACTGGTTTGGCTCAGTGGATAGAGTATCAGCCTGCGGACTGAAGGGTCCCAGGTTCGATTCTGGTCAAGGGCATGTACCTTGGTTGCGGGCACATCCCCAGTGGGGGGTGTGCAGGAGGCAGCTGATTGATGTTTCTCTCTCATCAATGTTTCTGACTCTCTATCCTTCTCCCTTCCTCTCTGTGAAAAATCAGTAAAATATATTTTTTAAAAAAAGAGTAGGCCTTCCTTCCCCTGGCCGCGGGCACTATCTTCCCTCTGGCGCCCGGGACCCTGGCTTCCCTCACAGCCCCAGCTTTGTCTGGAAGGTCGTCTGGAAGGACATCCGGTCTAATTATCATATTATGCTTTTATTATTATAAATAATTATTATTTATTATTATAGATAATTCCTAAATATGTTACCAGATTAAAAACAAAACCCTTTACTATAATCTGGTAACATTTGTAAAATTTAACATGAAACCAGTGCAGAAACAAATTTTTTAAAGACTACAGACTGAAGATTATACATTAAGTATAATAGTCAGAAGTAGTTATCTTTTTAGGTTTCATAACATAGGCCCAAATAAGTCAGCTTAATTTCTAATTAAAAATTTAAAAGACTCAAGTTTTTCACTGAATGTATTCATCATCAGAGAAATTTTTTGGAGTTTAGGTGAGTCAAGTTCGAGTATTCTGACTTTCAAAAGCAAGGACACTGAAATAAAAACATCTGGAATTACTAGTTTATACATTTTAAACTTCTGTAGCCTTTCAAAAATCCAGTCTTTGCTACAAAGACAAGACTTAGCTTTTTGGTCTTCCTGTTGACTTAACTCGGGAAACGAGTTAAGTCGGCTCGCGTGAATTGCGCGTACTCCGCGGGAGCCGTCTTAAACTCGGTTCATATAGATTTGCGGTGGAGTGCGGGAAACGTGTAAACTCGGGCCGATTGTAACTGCGTATTACCAAATATTTGTTTGTAATCCACCCTTTTGGTGGATGGAACAAAACCAAAAGACAGAGCCATCTTATATTTTGGCGGGAAATTCACCCGCACTCCAAGTGTTAAGTGTGCCTTTATTCTAAATACTTAGAATTTTCAATACCAGTTACTATTAAAAAATACCTTCAAAACATTTATCACTCAAAATGTTTCAAAAGTACTGATTTTATTGTGCTGCCATATATATTCTTCACATAACATTTTTATGTCAAATACTTTGCAGCTTGAAACAACTTTATTTAATTTGCTACATAAGCATTTTAAAAATTTCGAAGTCTAATTTTCTTCAGTATAGTTCCTCTTTGCTAGGCACAAAAGCAACGTTCAATGTGATATCTCAATTGGTGAATGAAAAGAT